CCACTTGGTGTTACAGTGACACAAAGCCCAGAAGGGCTGATGGACGCAGGTCAAGTGCATCCCACTCAGTATCCCTTAATGCTGGGGGAAGAGTTTGTGGAGCTGAACACAATGAGACAAGTCATCTGTGACGTAGACGTCCACATTTTGTCATGTACTTGTTTGATGGTATAGTTCCTGTCTAATGTTTGTATAAAAAAATGTTGTGCTATAAACCTACATTCTATCTAATAACTAACGAGGGGCAACTTCAACAGAATGTTGGTTTAACAGGACCTCAGTAAACATTGTATCAATGTTTATTGTCTCAATTTCTATAAATTACTTAATATTCCATCCATCCATCCATCCATCCAGCCATCCATCCATTATCTTCTGCTTGTTCCAAAGTCGGGTCACGGGGGCAGCATCTTGAGCAGGGAGCTCCAGCCATCTCTTTCCAAAGTCACCTCTTCCAGCTCTTCTGGGAGGACTCCAAGTTATACCCAGACCAACCGAGAGACATAATCTCTCCAGCGTGTCCTGTGTCTTCCCTGGGGTCTCCTCCAAGTCAGACATGCCTGAAGCACCTCCCTAGGGAGGCGCCCAGGAGGCATCCTTACCAGATGCCTGAATATTCACAGAACATAATGGTTCTGGTATTTTGTAGTTACCGGTAGATGTGTTGCTTACTCATGTCCACAAATCAATTGGTGACATCTTGGGGGGCCTACAGTAAACAGTTTATACACTCCACAGAGTGTCAGTGTATCAAGTCATTTGATTGTAGGTGATTTATTTAGGCTTTATGAATAATGTACACTTTTTTTCTGAGCCAAATATTTGAATTTTATCAAAAGTGTAAATGCTGAATACCTGCTGAATTCCTAAGATAGTTTCAGAAATAGAAGAATCATAATCATACAGACACAATTTTATTTTTTGTATTTTACATATTAAAATGATGTATTCTGCTGAGGACTGAAAATAGTTGCATGCAGATTTAAAACATTTAGGCAACAGACAAGGTTTGAAAGTTGGCATGGAATCAGGGTCCATTTAAATGTTTTGTCTTTGCAGATACTTCTTAGGGCAACAAATATATTTAAATGACCATTGTTAGGTTTAAATAATGATTGTTTATTTTTGCAAGTTAAGTAATTTTCTAAAAAATATTAGGTTTTCATTTTGAATAAACAAACTGTTTGAAATGAAGAAACATTAATAGTTACTAATGAGATCATTTTTAGCTGTAATTGAACTTCTTCCTTTAAATTGATTCAACTTTTAGTTTTTTATCCTAGGGTCAGAAGGTGATTAAAGTCTGCTTTTACTATTTCTTTTTGCTTACATTATTAAATGCACTGCAGCATATTCAGTAGATTTAAAGACTAGCATTCCTTGATGGAATGCATACTCCCCACTGCCGGTAAGCATGAAGGTTTTAGACCAAGATCATGTTATGATGAGAAATGTATGGACTCTTGCATCTGTGAGTGCTTGGAGTATGTGTTGTGAATCACTGTCATCTACTACCCCAACAAATTTCAGCCCAGTATTTCTAAGGTATATATATATATTTGAGTTCAATAAGGTCAGCTAGTTGTGGCAGCCATCTTAAATTGGGTTGAGTTTAAAAGAAAATCATTTGTAGGTGCACAGCCAAAAAATACTTTACCAGTGTTTCAGTGAAATTTGTCCAGTGGTTCCTGAGATATTTTGCTAACAGTCAAACAGGTTTGATTTAAACATTTAATGCCAAGGTTTTAAAGGAAGACATGATGTATTGTGCTCAAAGTATGTACTGAAGACAATGCTCAGCTACTACAACAGCAATTGTAGCTTAATAGCTGTAAAACTAGCTGTAAACTAGCTCTAGCTAACCTGTAGTCATTTTTTTGTATTTTCTAAGTTAATTTGGTTGTAAAGACCATCTTGAATTGATAAGAAAAAGTTGCTATAGAAGTTTTAAATGCAGATCTTGTGTGAACAATTAGTGGGCAAATTATAATTTAGGACTCAGTCTCAGCTTCTGATACATCACATTTGAACCCAATTTCTGTCAATTTGACTGACAATTGTTGTGTTTGCTATGATTACTTTACTGTGGAAGTTATCAGTACTGGCTCTCCTCAGGGCTGTGTGTTGAGCTCCATCCTGTTCACTCTGCTCACATATGACTGCACACCTACCCATCCAGGCTGTATGAGTCTGGATACAGGCAGCAGGTGGAACACCTGGAGAGCTGGTTCAGGAAGAACAACCTTCACATATACAGTATGTGAAGAAGACGAAGCTGATGGTCGTGGATTTCAGACAGAACAAACATACCTACCCCTTACCCCTGACATAGGAGGATCTGCAGTGGAAGTAGTCTCCAGTTACATGCACTTGGGTGTGCACCTGAATGACAACGTCAGCTGGAGCAACAACACCACCAGCCTGATCAAGAAAGCTCATCAAAGACTTTACTTCTTCAGGTGGCTGAGGTAAGCCAGTCTGGGAAGCTCACCTTCAGATGCAGGAAGAGGGCCACCTGCATCATGAAGGACCCCACTCACCCAGCACACACACTTTTTGCCCCCACTCCGCTCAGGTAAGAGGTTGCATAGCATTAAGTCTAGAACCACTAGACTGAGGAACAGCTTCTACCCTGAAGTTGTTAGAGTCATGAATCCCTGACCAGGAAAATCACAGTAATACCACTTTAATTTGTGATATGGAAATGTTTCTGTGCTGCTGATCATCCATGCTGCTGATTTATTGCCTTTAAGCTGCTGTATTCATACCCATCTGCTCACAACAGACTCATGTTCAGGCTGCTGTTTAATACACTGTATTATATTACAGTATTATTGTTTAGCATATATCTTAGATCAATGTACAGTATACTGTTTCTTTTTATACTTTATATCTTTGCTAATTTTAGGTTTAATTGGGACCTTGAGTACACAATTTCTTTCCACCTCATGTACCACATGTGATGAGAATAACAACAAAGAATCTTGAACCTGGATCTTGAATCAGTTGAGCCAAACATTTTTCCGTTGTAGATGTTCATCCATTTATAACTTTCTGAAATTGAAATAAGATTTTGCAAACCATTACAGTCAAATGCAGCCCCCCCCCCCCC